GCGGCGCTTGCACTCGTCGTAGAAGCCGTAGACGCGCGTCACGTTCGCACACTCGTGGTTGCCGCGCAGCAGGAAAAAGTTTTCGGGATACTTGATCTTGTAGCACAGCAGCAGCAGGATCGTCTCGAGCGACTGCTTGCCGCGGTCCACGTAGTCGCCCAGGAAGAGGTAGTTGGCCGATGGCGGGAATCCGCACATCTCAAACAGACGCAGCAGGTCGTGGTACTGGCCGTGCGTGTCGCCCACAATCTTGACGGGCGGGCTGAGCTCGATCAGCGTGGGTTGCGACAGGAAGATCTCGCGCGCCGCCTGGCAGACCGCGGTGATCTCGGCGTTCTTGAGCGCCGGCTTGGGGATCTTGCCCGAGTAGCCCGCCTCGAGCAGACGCGAGATCATGTCGTCAATGTCGAAAGTGCGCACCTGGTCGCCGGCGCCTGCGGATTGCGAGCCTTTGCCGACGGAGCCGGGGAAGCCGCCGGCGGCAAGTGGATTGGAGAGAATGGTGGCCGAGGTGGCCGAGGCGGGCGCAGCGCCGTCGATGCCGGCAGCCGAGCCGACGTCGGCGTCGCTGCGACCTGCGGCTGATCTGGGCACGGCGGGGCTGCCGACCTCGCTGGCTTCTTCGGTGCCATCGAGCACGTTGCGCGCCGAAGGCGAGGGCGAGGGCAATGGCGACTCGTGCCGGCTCACGCCGCCGCGCTTTTCGATCTTGGCGGGTGCCGAAGGACCGTTGCCCGCGCCGTTTTCGGGCGCGAGCGAATCTTTGCTCTTGGCGCGTAGGAGGTTGGAAGAGTCGGAGCCAGAAAGACCGTTGGAGCCTTCGGCGGCGTCGTCGCCCTCTTGAAGTTTGGACTTGCCCTTGCGGGACGAGCCGCCCATGATCTTGCCAAAGGACTTGAACATGGTGAATGCGGTGACAGCGGTGCAGCTGACGAAGGGTTAGATGGCTAGGACGAGCGGGAAAGCGGTCCGTCTAGATAGAGGCGTTGGCCAGGCGGGAAGCAGCAAGCTGAACGCTGCTTGTTGTGGGCAGAGGCGGGAGACGAGGCTCGAGGCGGCGTGTGTTGCGCTGAGCAGAGAAGCAGCACAGCGTCGGAGTGAAGGCTGAATGCGACTCGGAGGGCGATCGCGTCTATACACCGTCGGTCGGTCTAGACAAAGACAGACGAGAAAAGTGGATGCTGGCGACGGGTTTGTCGTATTGGGGTTGAAGACAAGGCTGCGGCGCGAGCGAGCGGGCGGGCGGGGGCGAAACGGCGGCGGCACTTGCAGACGGATGTGCGGGCGCGCTGCAGGCACTGACTGGCGTGGTGAGCCGAAGACGCGCGGAAGGCAGGCGAGCGTCGAAGCGGCGAAATGCAGGTCGAAAGACGCCAAGCGTGTGGGAGTGCGCGGGCCAACGGCGAACGGAGAACGGAGGAAGGACGCGGATGGGAGGTGGTGGTGGCGACAAGGTTTGGCTCCGCTGCTGGGAGGAGGAGGAGGGAGAGAGAGCGAGACGCCGAGATGGGAGAAGGTTTTCGCAAACAAGGTTGGAGATGGGGATGCAGGTGGGATGAGAGCGCTGGATGAGGCGACGGATGGTGTCGGCCATTGACGTGGATTGAGCGCGGCAGCAACCGTCGCCTCTGTGCGGGCAACGCACACACACACTCTCTCGCTCTCTCTGGGGCTGGCTGGCGGGCCGGCTGGCGGGCTGGCTGGCTCAAGCACTTGGACTGCCGACTCAGCAATGCGGGCGGGCGCTCATGCAAGTCGAGTCGAGTCGAGTCGCGAAAGGGGAAGGTCGTGCGCGGCGCGGCAGGGCAGAACAGGGCAGGGCAAGGCCGGGCGCAAGGAAGAAAAGGCAGCAGGATCCAGGCAGAGAGAGCTCCACCAGCCACGCCCTGCTGCAGAGCCACACAGCGGCACCTCCGAGGAGGTCAGGCGGCGAGGTGAGGCAGCAGAGCGCGTTGTGACGCATGGGCACTTGTTTCTCGCGAAAAGGCGAGCCAAGCCAAGACTCCCCGTCCTGGAGGCTGCTGGCACGCCAAATTCCTCCACCTCAGGCCCAGTTCCCTTCCGCTTTGGCTTGGCCCTCTGCCAGCTGCGCCTCGTCCCTGCTTGTTCCAAATCGTGCTGTCCAAGCGCTGCGCCGCCCCCTCTCCCCCCTTTTCTTCATTCTGCCCTGGAAGGAGGGACCTTTTTTAGGCTCGCGCATCCGGCTGCCTTCTGCACTTCGCCAGTCGCAGTCCCAAAATGTCATCAGAGCTCGGCTGCTGAACCCCAATCCGCAACCCCAGACTGCGCAGACGACCCGGTTCGGATCCCCAGCGCCGACATTTAGCAGTGTCAAGCTTTCGGGCACGGTCCGCTCTTCAATCTCATGCAGGCTAGCCATGTTGGTGGTGGTGGTGGTGGTGGTGGTGCGTTGGATGTGCGTATGCGTGTGACGCACTGTATCACGGGTCGCGGCGTCGGACGCAGTTTGACAGGCACAGCCCGGGATCCACATGCCCAGTCGTCTGCGTCATGTCGCTGCAAGGCTCGCCGGGGTCAACAGTGTGAGTGTGAGTGAGTGTGTGCATTCTTTTGCTGACCGCTGGCTGGCGCACTTCGAGCGTCAAGCGCCGATCGAACGAACCCCCTAGCTAAAATACGTCCGAAAGGCTGCCTTTCGCACCGCACCGGCTTCTTGTCGGCACGCCGTCGGCTCACATGCTCGCTTGACCATAGCATTCAGGCCAGAGAAGGCTGCCCGGCCGACCTGCGACTCTGCTCGTGAGCAAAAGCATCTGCGTCTTGCTTCCAGAGCAATGCCGAGTGGCCTCCGCGCTAGGAACTGCGCATTCGGCTCGATTGAACTCCATTTTCGCTCCATGAAGGATGTCAGCTGTCGTCCGCCGTAACAAGAGCCAAAAAAGTCGCTGCCTCCACTGCGATGGGCTGATCAGAACGCCTCGCCCCGATGCGCCCTTCACACCCGGAGCTTTGGTCAGCTCCGTCGTCGCAACAGCCACATCGTATCCATCACAGCCTGGCAGACGGCACGATGGGCACCAACACTTCGTCGCCTGCATCCTACGTCGACCAGGGCACAAGCATGTCGGGCCTCGCAAGGATGGGCGGTGCGCAGCCGCGAAACAAGACTCCCAAAGCTGCACCGTCTCCGCCCGCGCAGTCCAAGGCAAAGCCGGATCGTGCCCAAGCAGACCGACCCAGCATCGACACGTTGCCGCCATACCAAGCTCCGCACACTCAACACCGTCCTTGACCCTGTCCTCACTTTGCTGTTCACACCCGTCTTCTCTGCCCTGCTCCTGCTGATCGCCATTGCTCCTGCAACACATTGTGCCGTCACTCTGCCGGATAGGTGGGAAGTGGTATGCTAGAAAGTTGCATTTTTGGATGGGTGAAGATGGGTGCGAGGAGGGAATGCCCAAAAGGGCCCCGTGATCGTAAAGTACACTTGGCTGTGGTGAGCACCGACGCACTGACAGCGTGCCGAGCAGCTCGGTCACAAGACTGTCGATGCGTGCAGCGTGCGCTCGTTCACATGTGGAAGGCGGGCGTTGCTACGCAAGCAAAAGATCGTCCGCACTTGCACGTGCAAACTCGCTTAGGCCGAGACGGTCGAGAGGAGGTCCGAGTCACCAGCGTCGAGGATGGTCATGACACTAGAATATGGATAGGAGCGATTGCGGTCTCGAGTCAGTATACGATCGTCTGGAACATGAAGGCATGCCGACATGCGGCTGAGGAATCAAAAACTTACCCGACGCGGAAGAGCTTACCGGCAGCGGTACCGAGGGCAACGTTGGTGCCCTGGTAGTGGTGCACGGCAGTCTTGGAAAGCATGGCGTAGTACTCGATCTCGGACTTGCGCAGGGGAGGCGTGTTGGCCGAGATGAGCACGAGCTTAGCCTTGCCCGAGCGCATGTTCTTCAGAGCGCTCTTAAGGCCGAGGGCGACCTTACCAGACTTGATGACAAGCTGGAGCTTGGTGTTGATGTTGTCCTGGGACGACTTCTTAGCCTTGGGAGCCATTTTTCTGTCGAGTGCAAAGGGGTGGTGTGAAAAGGTCGAAAGGGGGAGTTGGGTGGTGGAAAGGTTGAAAGAGGCCTCCAGTAAGTATCACGTGTGATGCTTAACTTTCGCAGGCAAGGTCCCTGTGACGATCAACAGGTCCAAAGTTGGGATGCAAAGTGAAGGTCGGCATGCTGCTCTCCTTGAAATGCAAGATCCCCATCGCAGCTACGTGTTGGACTTTCTGTGCTGGTGCGCATTGCACCCAGCCATGACGGATAGCCTCCTGTTGTCCAGTGGGCACTGCGATGGAAGTGTGGTGTGCTGACTGCCTCGATGCGTCGAGATTTGTTCCTAGCGCCGATGATCACCTCCAACCCTGTCTCTACTCGTAAACCTTCCACAATCGCTGCAACGAATGCTGATCTGTCTGCTTTACGATAGACACCAGAATGTCGAGTGACCCTGCTCCGACCACCGAATGCATAATGGTTCTGCCACCATGTTCCCGCTCCCTGTTCTTTCTGCTGACCCCGCCACAACCGGATCGAATTGGCGACCTGCACAGATGTGTCCGTGTAGCTGCGTGTTGGTGTCGACGTCGTCTATGATCACTTACGCTATGTTATGTATATGCGGTGAGGTCTGTGGTGACTTGGAGGAGACGAAAGGAAGGTGCAGCGTTCACTCGTTCGGTACAGCCCGAACCTCTTGCACGCTTGCACATCAACGAACGGCTCTCCTCGCTCGCCCAGACTGAGAAAGACAGGCTCAGAGCGAAGCATCCGCACCGCTCCAGCCTTCTGAATGGGAAAACTAACATTGGCCGCTTTGTCGAAATTCCCAGGGAGCCCGAAATTCTGGATGAGGGCGCCAGGCAGGTGGAGCTTCAGCGCGCCTGTCTCACGGGACCACAGCATCAGATCGCGATACTCAAAATTTCGATATGACGAGCGTGGGAATTTTTCTTCACGTGATCGTTTTTCGACCCAAACCCAGCTTGGACACTCTGGCCAGGCAGCCGCTCGAGCTCGGTCCCGCAGGCCGAACGGGCGAGCTGAGCCTGGCTGAGGATCGAAATTGTGCCTCGAGAAGGCGATGCGCAAGCCTGACAGGCTCAGACCGGACGAGAGCCAGCTGCAACGCCAGTCAGAGGTCTGGCTGCCAGTCTCTCGAGGCTGAGAAGGCGCGCGCGGCAACCGCGCATTGCAAGGCGTCAAGCTGGTCGTCGCTATCACCCCTTCCCTCTGCTCCCACCAGTAATTCTCAAGACATACTCTAGCCAAGGTAAGCTCGACACCGACATCTCGACCTCGTATCTTGCACGAACGGAAGCTGCGATCGCATTGCACCCGCCCGCCAGGAGCTCAGCCATCAACCGTTGGCAGAATCGCACGTCTAGCTCCACAGCCAGAGACAGCACCACAAAAACTAGACCGACACAGTACGAAAGACCATCTCTGCGGCATCATCGACCACGCACGCATCGTGCTCTTTTGCATTCTCGCCTTCTGTCCCCTTCTTAGCACGGAGGATCGCCAATTGTGTCACACGACGCCAATATTCGCACTACCAGCCTCCAGCCCAGATCGCAGCTCTCGGATCGTTTGCATAGATACCGGGATATACTTTCAAACCGATTCCGACTCAGCTCCTGACCACTCGCCACCACTCCAACACTCTCCTCTTCACTCTCAAAGATGACGAAGGGTACTACCTCTTTCGGTAAGCGACAGTAAGTATCCACCGATGCACAACGCACATCACGTCAGGCCCAACTCTTTTAGCAGTCGACATACGGTACGGAAGGCGATGGAGGAGATCAGGGAACTGGCATCGTAAGGTCATGCAGGGCGCCATCGATGATGGGAAGGACACGGAGGACACTTTGACGCTGTTGGATCATCCGATCATCGGATCTATGGAGTATCGCATTGATGGAGAGCAGCTATCGAGCACAGAGGACACAGATAGGACAGAATCAGACTCGGTCGGACTCTTGGGATACATGATCGCGATATGACGCATCAGAACGGGAAGGGGGGTTGGAGTAACACTCAGCGTCCGCCCACGTCAGGACAAGGAATGGCGTGCACGATGACGACTGCAAAGAAAAGAGTTGGCGCCGTTCCAATCATCTACAGGCTTTGGGCAGCTAGCTCACCATTCGTTCTCCTGACCTTGCAACTCACAGCACCAAGACGCACACCGTCTGCCGCCGCTGCAACGCGCGCTCCTTCCACCGTCAGAAGAAGGTCTGCGCTTCGTGCGGTTACCCCGCCGCCAAGATCCGCTCGTACGAGTGGGGCCAGAAGGCCAAGCGCAGAAAGACCACCGGTACCGGCCGCATGCGCTACCTCAAGAACGTCGGCCGCCGCTCCAAGAACGGCTTCCAGACCGGCTCGGCTGGCAAGAAGGTCGCTGCCTAAACGCGGCATGCTATCCTTTTGATCCTCCGCTTCTCTCGCTGCACGCTTTCTTCTTGCATATCGACAATGGACCGCGCGGCGTGACCATTTCAGCAGCGTGGGACTAGCGCATCGTTCCCCGCCTTTTCCGACACCATTTCCCCCCAAAAATACAAGACCTAGGGCCTTTCTTCCGGGCCGCGCATTTGCATATACTTCTCGACGAAAGAACGCCGAGAGATGGCATGGCGTGGCCGAGGGCGGGAGGGAAGTGCTTCGAGGTCTTGCGTTGGAGCGCGTTGCAATGCAGAGGGTGTCCCCTGTAGCGCTGCTACGCTCGGCGCGTTGTACATCACATTCACTCTATCCTCCGCACACCAACCTGTTCCCACATCGTGTCGCCCTTGCACAAAATCAACATGCCTTTTCAGATCAGCATCTCTCTCGCAGTGTCTGTGCGTGGCTGCTGGCCAGGAACGAGTCGAGATTAAGAGACACAAGCGAGTCCGGTTTGAAAGATTTGGGATTGCAGGAGGTCAAGTGTCAAAGGGCGAAGGGGGGGGATTCACTCTTCGTCGCTTTCGACGATCCGCTTCTTCTTGACGATGGCTTGGTTGGCAGCGTCGTCGTTGTCCTGGTCGTCTTCGTCCGAGGAGAAGGAGGGTTCTGGTCTGCGAGGCTTGTCCTTTGACTCGCCGGCAGCTGCGCGCTTACGCGCCCGCTCTGCCTCCTCGATCTTCTGTTCTGCAAGCTCCATCTCGTCGGGCTCGTCGTCGACCTCCATGCCATCCTCATCATCCGAGCTCCTCTTCTTCTTGCGGCGACCCGCACGCTGGCCATCGTCATCGTCATCATCGCCTTCGTCATCGACAATGAAGCCGTCATCGTCGTCTTCGGCATATCGCTGAGAGGCTGCTGCGCGCTTACTGCCGCCACGACCACCCACATCATCCGCACCGCCGCCGAGATCGCTGTCGTCGCTGTAGTAGTCGGCATTGCGCGGACCTGCGCCGAGCTTACGGCCGCCAACGTAGCGACTCCTTCTGCGCGACTCGATGTCAAACATGTCGTCGTCGAATTTGCCGCTCTTGCGGTCAGCCTTCTGGCGCTCGCGCACGCGCTTCTTCTCGGCGTCTTTGAGCTCCTTTTCGATGCGCGCCTTTTCGATCTCCGGGTCGAGCGCTCCTTCGCCCGCGGCGGTGGCCACCACACGTGCAGTCTTCTGGAATCGCAGCGCCTTGGCGATCCTACGGTGCGTCTCGGACTGCGTGTCTGCCGGTGTGAAGGCAAGCGAGCCCGCGATGGGACCCTGAGCCTCCATGACCTGCTCGGCCTCGTGGGGTACCACGAGGTACGACAGACTCTGCGCCGGACGGTTGGTCGAACCACTCGAACCCATAGGCACGCTCTGCGTGGCCTGGCTCAGCAGCTGCTGCGACGACGACGGACCTGCAGACTGCGAGCTGGCGCCCAGCTGCGGCGTGTTGGCACCCGTGTTGGCCACCGAGACGCGACCCTTTTCGGTCTGCTGCGTAATGTCGAACAGCTCGCTGCCGACCTGGAGCGACATGGTGCCGTCGCTCCAGCGGACGATGCGTGCGTTGGACTCGGGCACGCGCGCGCCGTCTTGGTCGAGCTCGTCGGTGTACCTCCATCGGATGGTGTTGGAGGTGCGCAGCAGACTGGTGGCGCCCTCGTCGTGCGCAAAGCCCGAGTTGAAGCCCTCGTCGCGCAGCATGTCCTCCTCTTGCTCCTCGTCCCACGAGTCGGGCTCAAAGGGCGTGGTGACGTAGCGCAGGAAGTGGGGTATCCTGGCGAGCCAGTGCTCCTTGGTGTGACGCACGGGTAACTGCGGCAGGGCGAGCTGCGCCACCTCGATGTTGTCGTCGGGCTGCAGCTCTTCGTCCTCGTCCTCCTTGTACTCGAGCTGACGCAGCGCGGCATCGTCCATGTCCTGCGAGCCATCGCGGCCGTACGGGCTGCCGCTGCGAGATGAGCGGTCGGACCGACGAGCAGGCGAAGAGGGGTCGAGCGGGGGCGGTGCGGCGAGACCATTGGCGCCGGCGGGGGGTGGAGAGGCCGAAGCCGAGGCCACGCGTTGCTGCCTGGATCGGCGCACGTTGCGGCGGATTCCTTCGTCTTCGTCATCCTCGTCGTCATCATCGTCAGCACCATTTGCAGTAATCTGCGTTGCATCGTCGTCCTTTGGCGCGCTGCTCCTCGAGGCAGGCTTCACCTGCTCCTCTTCATCCTCGTCGTCGTCGCCAAACAGGGCGTCCTCCAGATTGTCTGCCGGCGCTTTGGGCGCTTGAGGTGCAGCAACTTCTGATCCGGGGGATGCCACTTGCTCCTCTGAGGCAGCAGGCGCAGCTGCGATCGGTGCGGCCTCTGCAGCCTCGTGATCCGACATTGTGCGATGGCGCTGCTGTTGAGGTGGATGTGTGGAAGGGTGTGAGAGGGTGCGCATTGCGGTTCGACGGCGCTGAAGCTTCCTGTGCGCCGGGTCTGCGCGTTGACTTTCGCGTGTTGGAACTGGGAGGCCTTCCTACCGCGCGAGAAGAAGCTCGCGTCTGCCACCCGATGACTGAGCAGCAAAACGACCTCCACAAAAGGGCGCGTTGAGCTCAACACCTGAAAGCACGGTGCAACACCTCTCGATTGGCTCAGCCTTGCCTTCACACCATCAATCCCACCGGCGGCACGCACAAATCCAACATGAGGAACTCCATCGTAAGGCTAGGCCAAGGCCTGCTCCGCCAGACGCCAATCGCAGCACCTGCAAGAAGCTTCGGCTCGGTCTCGGCACCCGCTCTCAGCTCGCGAGGGCGTACGTACGTCAAGCAACAGCAGCAGCCCGCTCGTACGGGACTCAAGGACCTGCATCCTCTGCCCGAGTCGATGCGCGAGCAGCTCGAAAGCGATGGTGCGCCGCAAGAGCCATACACGGCGAGTGGCAACTCGAACGACCCTGCCGTGCATTCCAGCCGCCCGGCAGCACAGCCAGCCGGAGTGGACGTCGATCCGAGCGTTGCAGCACCTGGCCTGGTCAACGGCTCGTCTGGCAACGGAAGCAATGGATCCAGCTCATCGTCGGCGACGACTTCGGCACCCTCTAGCAACGTGTCCGAGGAGTGGGGCACCAGCTTTGCAGGCCTCGGCGAGCGCTCGTTCAGCAAGGAAGCGGTCGACGTGCTCATGGGCCCAATCAACGAGTCGGATATCGAGATCAAGCCTGGTAAGTGCACGTCTCATCGCAGCGGCTGAGACTGCTTCGAGGTTCGCTGACGCGATCTTCCTTGCCCCTCTTGCCCCACCGATCCATCAACGGGTGGCTTCGAACGACAGACGGCCTCATCTACCTGCCCGAAATCAAGTATCGTCGTATCTTGAACAGGGCGTTCGGACCAGGCGGCTGGGGCATGGCTCCGCGCAGCGAGACCAACGTGGGACAAGGCATCGTGAGCCGCGAGTGGGTGCTCATCTGCCAGGGACGGTAAGTTGATCTAATTCGACCAGCAGCCACACAAAGAAAGACCCGATACTGACCGCTGCTATCGACGCTTTGATCCGGCAGCTTTGTGGCAACAGCGCGTGGTGAGCAGGAGTTCTTCAAGCCATCCGGAGTGCCAACAGCGTCGGAGGGAGCCAAGTCGAATGCGCTCATGCGATGCTGCAAGGACCTCGGTGTGTCGTCCGAGCTGTGGGACCCTCGATTCATCCGACAGTTCCGCAAGAAGCACTGCCTCGAGGTGTGGGCACAAGACACGGCTGGCAAAAAGTAGGTGTGCCCAAACCTCCTTTGCTCTTGCAGACCATCTCACTGACTTCTGCCCGCTTCGTTCGACTGACTCTCACAGGAAGAAGCTCTGGCGTCGGAAGGACGACCCGCCCTTCGAGTATCCGTGGAAGGAGACTGGCACTGCCTAGACGGTCTGCAGCATTCGCAACTGCCAAACCCAGCGTCACCGCTCGATCCCCTCCTGCTGCGCAGCAGCTCTAACAATTGAGACCAGAAAAAAATCCGAGCCGAAAATGGCCTTTTGCGTTGAGCTTGAAAAATGCGCGGTCCACCCGTACTTTGGCGCATGCGGAAGGAGAGATGCTGGTGAGCTGCTGGTGAGCTGCTGGGCGCCCGTACGAAACAAGCTTTCGTTCAGTGGGCAGCTTTGGCCACCCGCGTCAACCTGGGCGTCGCCTCGCTCAGTCGCTTTGATCCAAAAGCCTGGTGGCCGGAGCGTCGTCGTCCAATCACGCATCACTCGCCTCATCGCTTCGACCCGTGCCATCATCGTCCACTCCATCGGCACACCGACATCAGCACACTCCACGCGACCACTTTGCAAGCACCTGCTGCACACACACACGCACACAATCCTCAACCCCAGCACCACTGCGTATCCCCGTCGCGATCGTCGCCGCATCATTCGAACGACACCAATTCTACGCATCCACGTCCTAGCGCTGCACGCTTCCCCCTTCGCCGAGTCCATTCGCGTCCAAACTCTGCTTCAACGCTACACAAGGCTTCCACTGCCCTTGCACGTTCCTCAGCTCCCATCCAACCGCACTGACTGGCCAGCGAAGCAAAGCGCGAGGCTCCGACTCGGCGCAAACTAAGCTCCCATCATGGCAGCCGGTAAGTTCCACATAGAGCCGCCAGATTCTGGCTACAGTGCGCCCCAGAACCTCCGAAGCCTGACCCTTTCGTCATCACATCAATTCCAACCAGGACCACCGCCCGGCCTCGGCATAGCAGCACCACCAGCCGCAGCGTTACCACCCAACCCATTCGGCGCCAACGGCTCCTCCCAACAGTCTCACAGATCGCCCTTGCACCACCACTCCGACCTCGAAACACCCGTCAAATATGAGCGTCCATCCAACTGCCCTCGCACCTACAGCCGCGGCGCACTTCTCGCCTTCAGCACCTCCACCCTGGTCGTAAAACCATCCTCCATGGGCTCCCTTCGCGAATGGTTTGGCGAGTGGGAAGCCTACCATCCCAAGAGCTCCTACAACTACCGCGAAACCTCTCGCAGAGCCCACGCAGAAGACGCTGCCGCCGCACACGCAGCAGCAGCCGCACACGCAGTCGAGTCGGAAGAAGGCGCCAACAACGGCGGTATCATCGGAGGCGCGCTCGGAGGCTTCGCGCCTAGAAGGGAAGGCGCAGGCGCGCGCTTCGGAGGCAGGAGGAACGAAGACCGCGAACGCAGCGAAGGCCTCCGTCTTGGCGAAGTCGGCGGCCGCAGAGTCGCACCCGCCGGAAAGAACCCGTTCGGTCAGATCTCTGCCAGCGGCACTTTCAAGCCAGCAGGCACTCCCGGTGGTGGACGCGGTCTTCCTCGCGACGCCAACCCCGACGCCATGGGCGACGCTCGCCGCGGAATGGGGGAACGCTCCACCTCGTACGGCAAGGAGAGGATGCGCGAGCTGCTTCCCGACGACCGTAGACGCGACCCGGCTCGCGACCGACGACGTGGCGATCGAGGTCTCGACGCCGACGACGGTCGCGAGGAAGGCGAGATCGTCGATTCGCCCAGGACACGACGCACCGGTGGCGCAGACACCGCTTCCGACTGGAGGAGACCCGGCGACCGCGACCGTGCCGGCCCCTTCTCCAGCCTCCCATCCGACCGCTTGCGCCCGGGCGAGCGACGGGGAGCCCAGCGTGCAGGCGGAGCTCCCTGGACAGGCGATGCGGACGACAACCCGGCTTGGCTCGAAGACGACTCGGAACCCCTGCCCGTCGACAACCGAGCTCCATTTGGACAGTTTGGCAGCCGTCGAAAGGACGCTGACGACCCGCTTTCCCCGGCCGATGGCATGGGCGGCGCCGTCGATAGCATTCAGGCCTTCAAGGCCCAGATGAAGGAACGCGAGCGTCGCGAGAGGCTCGCGCGCGGCGAGCCCGAGCCCGTCGAAAGGGCGCCGCTCGAATCTCACAACGAATCTCTGGGCGCGGAGCGACACTCGTCGCACGAGTACCCCTTCGGCTCCGATGCTGCCTCGCAACAATCTGAGCTCGACGCCATCCGCGCCGAAATGATGGCTGCTGCCAACCAACGCTCCGCATCGGGCAACTCGATGTTCGACAGCATCTCCAACAGCCACGGCGGCCCCGCAGCCGAGGGACAAGCGCCACCCGGTCTTCCCGGACGCTCCAGCCGATTCGCTCGATTCTTCGACGGACGCGGCGCACCGCCGCGCGACCCCCAAGCTGCCGCCCTTGCCGCACAGCAGAAGATGCTCGAGTCCATGGGTGCCCAGCCTGCGCCGCCCGCCTCCGAAGACAAGGAGTCCTCCAACGTCCATAGCCCCAAAACGCCGCAAAACGCCTCCTCATCGTCGATCAACATCTCGGAGCTCTTCAGCAAGTCGTCTATCCGCGACACGGCAGACGCGACGGGCAAGGACGCCTCGGGCAAGAATGTGTCGGATGCGGACCAGCAGAGCATGCAGAAGCTCATGGCCATGCTGCAAGGCGGCGGCGGCGCAGCAAGCGGCACGGGGACGCCTACGTCCAACAAGGAGCATGCCAACGAGCATGCGCACCACCATCAGCGAGCCGACGCGGACGACCGACTCAAGGAGCTTCTCGGTGGTGGCGGCCAAGCTCGTCATGCCGACCACCTCGGCGACCGACCTCGCAGCATCGTCTCCCCCGGCCTCTCGTCCGCTGAGCCTCACGGTCACGCCATGGAAGCTCGCTCGCCACTGCCCTACCCGCAGCAACAGCAGCAGCAGCATCAGCGCGAATCGAGCACGTCGTCCGGCGGCGTGGGGCACGGTCAGCATCTGGGTCCGCAGCATCAGCACCAGCACCAGCAGCCGCACGAGTCGCAGCAGCAATTCCCGCAGTACCAGCAGCAGCTACAGCAGCAGCAGCGGTCCGACTCGCCCGCCATGGGCGGCGGCAATGCGTACAACGATCCTCGTCAGCAGCTCAGCAGCGTGGGATCGCCTACGAGCCCGGGCGCGCCGGGCGTGGGCTCTCCGGGCGCAGCGCCGGGTATGGGAGGCTTTGGCGGCTTCCCGGGCGCGATGGCGGGCCGACCGCCGCCGCCGGGCATGGATCCTCGCATGATGGCGCGGCCGCCGATGGGCGCGCCCGGCTTCCAGCAGCTGCCGCCGCACCTGGCCGCGAGCCTGGGGCTGGCGCGCGGACCGATGCCACCAGGCATGGGCAGCATGCCGCCTCCGCCGCCCATGGGCGTGCCCGGACCGCGCGGACCCAATGGTGGCTTCCCCGGGTTCGCACCGTTCCCGGGCGGACGTCCGCCGCCGCCCGGAATGCCGCCGCAGCTGTACCAGCAGCTGATGAGCATGCCGCCGCACATCCAGCAGCAGGTGCTGGCGGGACAGGGATTCCCGCCCGGCATGCCGCCACCGCCGGGATCGCCATACGACCCCAGTGCGCCCGAGCGCAGGTCCCAGTCGCCCGCGCAGTTCCCGTACTACGCCCAGGGCCCGGGTGGTATGCAGCCGCCAGCGTCGCCCCAGCAGCATCAGCCGGTGGCCGTGGGAGCGCATGCGATCAACGGCGCTAATCTCATGGCGCTGCTTAGCGGCGGTAGGAACACGCCCACCAACTGAGCGCGCGCTGCGTCTCAATCTTTTCTTTCAGTCTCACACACACAAGTGTTGCGGTTCTTGGTCCTTGGTTTCGTGGTTTGAATTCTAGCTTTTGCGCTTTTCTCGATGCGGGATGAAGGAAGAGTGGGGTTCTTACTTGAGTTGTTCGTTGAACATGCGGGCGATGAGCATGCGACGAATCTCCTGGGTACCTGCGCCCACGGTGTAGAGACGGGCGTCACGCCAGAACCTGGCAACGGGGTAGTCGTTTGTGTAGCCGTTTCCGCCGAGCATTTGCATGGCTTCGGTGGTGACTTCGACGCAGCGGTCGGACGAGTAGAGGATTGCACCTGCGCAGTCGCGGCGGGAAATGGCGCCCTGGTCGCATGCACGGCCGACGGCGTAGACGTAGGAGCGGGCAGCGCCGAGTTTGGTGTACATGTCGGCGATCTTGCCCTGGATCAGTTGGAACTCGGCGATGCGCGTGCCAAACTGCTTGCGCTCGTGCGCGTACGTCACGGCGTAATCGAAAGCCGCCTGCATCAGTCCCAACGGTCCTCCGCTAAGAACGAGTCGTTCCAGATCGAGACCCGACATAAGTACCGCCGCTCCTCGGTTCACGGTGCCGAGCACGTTGGTTTCCGGAACTTCAACGTTGTCAAAGTGGATCTCGCACGTGTCCGACCCGCGCATGCCCACTTTGTCCAGCTTCGGAAGCTGGGTGAAGCCCTTCATACCACGCTCGAGGATGAAGGCGGTGATACCCTTGGAGCCTGCCTTGGGTTCGGTCTTGGCGTACACGATGAAGGTGCTTGCAATGGGCGCATTGGTGATCCACATCTTGCCACCGTTCAGCACGTAGTGATCGCCCTTCTTCACTGCAGTCGTCGTCATACTGACCACGTCCGAGCCCGATCCGGGTTCCGACATGGCAAGACTGCCCACCTTCTTACCCGAGATGAGGTCTGGCAGATACTTGGCCTTCTGCTCCTTGGTGCCGTGCCTGTTGAGCTGGTTCACGCAGAGGTTGCTGTGGGCACCGTACGACAAAGCGACAGAGCCCGATGCGCGCGAAAGCTCCTCCATAACAATCGTGTGGTCCAGGTATCCTTTGCCGAGACCGCCGAATTCTTCGGGCACCGTGATGCCGAGCAGACCCATGTCGCCGAGCTTGGTCCAGATGTCCTTGGGCGACTCGTTGTTGCGGTCGATCGCAGCCGCCTTCTCGGGCGGCAGCTCGGCAGACACGAACGAGGCGACTGCGTCGCGCAGCTCCGCCTGTTCCTCGCTAAGTCCAGCGACATCGGTGTTGTAGAAGGTTGTCGCCATGCCCCTGCGTGCCACGCCGGAGCGGAGGCTGGACGAAGCCAGCGCAGTGCGACGCAGTGGCGCAGCTACAGCGCGAAGAGCAGAGAACGACATTTTGAAGAAGAAGAAGAGGAGACACGGAGAGGGGTGGATGGTCGTGGTGAGAAGAATAGCCGGTCAAGTCTGGGATCCGCTTCAAGGAGGGGCGAAGTGTGTTTCTGCGGAGGCGGGGGGTGCAGGGGCCGAAGCGTGGCGGCGCGCCAAAGGGTCCGGCAAAAGCTGCGCGCTGGACAGTAGCAGCGGGCCAAATTGGGTCAATTCTCGCCCTTTCCCGACGACCGGCTCCAATTTGGACGGCCCGACATTTCGCATTTAGCGGGGACCCCGCGTTCCCCCCTGCGCCCCAGCCCCTCATTCGTACGGCAGAACCGAGCTTCCCAGATCCACACCGCCGCCCATCCTTTGTTGAATCGGTGCTCGCTCATCTCTGACAGTATCCTTGAAGTCACAGGATTCGATCGCTGGATGGGATAAGGCGCCAGACGGTGTATTTCCGCGTGGAGTGGACGGAAAGTGTCGGTGAGCCGAAAGAAGCGACCCCACCAAAGTGGGAAGCCAAAAAGAAAAAAAGGACCAAAAAATGGGACCAAAAAATGGACAAGCCTCCCCATGGCATGCGCAACTTCAAACACCACCACACGCAGCTGTACGAGCGACTGTATCGAGCTGAGCTGCCTAATCATCGGGCTGCGAGTCCCGAAGCTAGTCATCGCGGCGAGAATGCAGCACAAAGACAGCCCACAACAGAGCCACAATGGTGCTGTTTCGCCCCCCCCCCCCCCCCCCCCC